TGATTATTCTATAACATTTATATTCCAAAAGATTGATGATGTTGACAGCATTTTTAAGAACAGTTTTCATGACGTAATAGGACAATTGAAAACTTCAACAGAGGCCACTTGACTGTATTTCGCTGGCAAATGCCTCATCGTATTGTTTATCAGAATAACTAATAAATTACAACTATGGAATATGTGGCTTCACTCAAATCCTGTGCTATGCAGTACCATCATCTAAGATTTCCAACCAGTGTAATTTCAACTTGATTTAAAATCTTATCTCTGTCACCTAATCATTCAATCCACTCATCTGTTGTTTCTGTTAAGAGGCATACTGACAGCTGTAGCATCGGGCTGGGGCTAAACAAAAACCACAACTGTGATTTGAGAGGTTTATGTAATCCGTATGTAATTCCGTGTTGCTTGAGTTAGTCACTCTCATATTTGTTTTTACTTTTTTAATTTACTTTCATGGTCTATCATCTGCTGCAATCAGTTTCCAATAGTTCTGTAGAACCACCCGGCAAAATAAGCAAAGTAGTGAATATTCTATTGAACTCAGAAATACTTTTTCATTGAGTTTTATTGTTAGTACTCCAGACGCAACTCAAAACCTTTAAAGTTGCTTTAAAGCTGCACATTGAGTTATCCATTTGCAACTAAATATGTTGTGTATAATTGTTACTCACCATTTAAATTAGGCAAATAAGCGGTATTGATAATGGATGGATGGATGGAAATAAATAGAAAGAAGCTTTTCTACTTTCAATAATCACATCTTGTTCCAAAGGAGCTCATATGAAGTAAAGTCACAGCTAATGTATCAAAATGTAACTGAAGGGTTTTCAGTCACCGGTAGACGCGACATTCGCACTCACATCCATATACACGCACATACATTTATTCATTTATTCTCGGCCATCATTCAAATTCACGGACCCGAGTAACATACGCAAAACAACACGTAGCATTCGCTTTCGTATTTCCCGTTTCCCTGCCGCGCTACTCGTTTTTGGTACACGTTGTCTAATTTCCTTTGCCCCGTTTTCCCGCTGGTTAAAATGCCCAAGGGTGCACACTTGGGGATGTTTGCATACACATATACTACATTTGAGAATTGGGTTACCTGTTGTGTGGGGTTTCCTTCCATGGCCAAGCCGATCTAACCCTTCCCCCTGGTTTAAATGGCCAGTGTTGGCGCCGCAAGATTGATCACGTGATCAGCTCATCGCGTGGAGACTTTTATTCCTGAATTAACGATCAAATCTTATATATTATTTATTTTGGTTAGCATAACATACCTTGTGTGAGTGCCTCTTAAGGCGTTTTGTTTGTATTTTCTGCTAAAGTGTCCAGTGGGAGAGTTCCAGAGAGAGTTCCACTGACTATGGAAATACTTTTTTTTTTCATTCTTTATTTTTGTATATACATTTTTCTCCACTGTGAATATATTTGTGCATTCTGGTGTTGGAATACGGGCAAAATAAACACCTCAGCACGTGAAGTCGACCTCTGCCTCTTATTCACAAAAACCCCACGACAAAGCCTTTTTGAATAAGTCAGTAGAAATCCAATACCTTTCACTCTTTTTTTTCTTGTTCCTTCCAGGTTTTTCATAGCCTTCTGGTACATTCATCAGATCGCCATTATCACTGCTGTTTTGTAGAAACAGCTTTTTCTAGTTCAAACTAGATGTCCTGTTGCAAAAATTAAACCTAACTGATGAGCAAGGATGGTTCAATCTTAGCTGGGGCCTCACTGAGTGGGGCTTTCAGTTTTCCCCATGTTGAAGGTGAATTGCTGTTTGTCTTGTTTATTGCCACGTTGGTCCTACGAGGGCGACCATGAATGACCCGTCCAGAGAGAATCCTGACTCTTGCCAAATGGTAACAGATGGATGGATAATCAGCTAAATTAATTTAATAAGAATAACATCCCTATTTCAACCTTTGTTTACAGATACATTATTTAGATAGACTGAGTCCATACCGGGCGGCACGGTGGCCTGGTGGTTAGCACCATCGCCTCACAGTCAGAGGGTTCTGAGTGAGTGTGAGTGCGCGTGGTTCTTCAACTTGCCATTTAAAAAAAGAACATTTAATTTCCTATGTGCTCCTGAAAATGTGAGACTATATGAATGAGTTAAAGTTGTACCTTTTGCATAGATGTTGTCATGGTTTATCTTTTTCTTTAATAAAGTATGAAATCTCAATTTCATGTTCAGTACTTTCATATTTTCATTGATGATGGTTTTAAATGTTAAATTTGGTGTAACATAGATTATCTTGGTACTGGTCATGCATAGCATCATGCCATTGTGTATTACCATCTTTATTTGGTATCAGCTTTTATGTTTGATAATTGGGACATTTGTTTTTAAAAGTTTCAAGAAGCTATGCCATAAATCACAGTACAATGCAACCACTGTGTTGAGACATTGTAAGCTATTATGCAAATTGCTTAATACAAATAATAATACAAAATGACAAATAAAATGCCGTGTAGTCCTAGCTGAGGTCTGCCCCACTTTCTCACCTGGAGTGATTTATGGTTAGCTAATGTACGATGAAATAAACAACATCATTCCATTTTATCAGGATAAAATATGGAACCATGGCAAGCGTCTATGTTATTTTTCTAATGTGAGACAAAAGGACAGACGCAGGAAGGACACAGAACAGTGCATTTAAATAATTGTTTTAACCGATCAAAAGGATTTATCTGTAACTGTGTATGTGTGTGTGCATGAGAGGTCATGTTTCGTGCATGCGTGCGGTTGGACAAAAGAGAGTTGACAGGTCTGGTGGCAAATCCTATAATCCTTTCATTTGATCAAAGTAATACAACAGCTTTTAAAATATTCAGTGCAACGAAAAGTTTTAAATTTCAATGTACTTTACACTCAGGGCAGTTTTTGCTGTCTTTGTAATTAAATTAGGCTTTTACTCCAAAACAATATGAGACAATTTATATGAGCGGTGCCCTGGCAAAAGCCCTCTCTTTATTCAGTGCTTTAAAGTCACACTCGAGTATGGCAGCGTTATTTCACAATTGAGATTTTGCTTTCATTCTCAGTAAAGCTCAGAATGGGAAAAAAACAAATAAACAAAAAAGCTTTGATTAATGAGGCTCAAATTAAACGAGCCTGTAATGAATCTGTCTGTAAAGCCTATTTGTACAGAAAACACATTTTACCGAAGATAGTGTGCAATATAATGCCCATTTAACCTTTTGATTATTATCTTGTTGTTTCTAAATCTATTAGGCACACAGTAAAAATAATGTCCCAAAACCAGGACAGAATTTGACTTTTTTATGGTCAAATCTATTTATTTTAACATAACTTCAATTCTGGGCTTGTTTACAGTTTATACAGTGAACTGCGTCCCTTTAACCTGCATAATGTGAAAATGATTCTACGGTAACAAACAAGACACCTGTCACTAAACTGTTACCACCCAACTTGATAAAGATACTTTTATATTTAATGTCACTGTAGAATTGACACTACAACACTATAACCAACATCTAAATTCATCAGGAGTCACTGATTAGATGCATAAAAATGCATGTCCAAATATCTTTAGTAAAACCAATTTTTTATCAGGATCTAATCTTGGACATTTGATACAGAGTAGCTATGCAGACATATTTTCCAATAAAGTTGAAGAGTTTGAAAAAAGTAAAACATAAATGTTTCACAGTGTCAATACAAGAGGTTAAAAGGGGAAAAAATCACAAAGATAAATAAAGCCCCTATATCATATTCTATTTGCATTAAGAAGACCTGGATTTAGTATAAAATAAAACCCTGTGTGCATGGTACAGTGCTCTATATAGTACTGCTTTGTGTCAGCCTCAATAACAAATGGTAGTCGGACATGAATATTTGATACTTCGGTGGTGTTTTTTTTCCAATGTTATTGACAAGCTTGTGTTGAAAAGATGAATGTTCTTTAAAGAACAAAAAAAGAAGCTTTGGCTCATAGAATTAATTTAAAATCATGTATCGCAAATATATCCATGTTAAGTTGAGACTGAAAGCCCAAATGTTTGTTAGTATGAGGGAAACTAAGAACAATCGTAACGATAATGAAAAACAAACATATAAATGTACACTCTTCTCCCATCACACCAAACCCACTCCTTCCTACCAAAGCAGCAAGATGCCAACCTGTGGGAGGCACTGCATCATAGAACCTGAACACTACTTAATTTCATCTGAAAGGACTACAAAATATACATCTTGATGCTATGATTAGAAGACACTGTAATATAATAACTACCTAATAAGACATATGTGCTCTTCCCCATACACTGTGTTCATCAGACAGTCCTGTTTTTATTTTTTTCTAACCATTTTTCTTTACAGTTCATGTTTAATTTTCTGCAGGTACATTACAAAACAGTTGTGGTAAAAACAGGGACTCAGTCACACTGTAATTCTTTTTTTTTTAATTAATCATTATTTTACATAGATCACGATTATCTAAAAGGTCCAACTAATATTAAGATGAGATAATCATAGTATTAGAAATTTTTCCCGACTCACTAATCTGTAAACTTCAGAATGTTGGTACTTTGGTGCAATATGTTGCCATCAATATATACCTTTGACTAAAGTCAATGATATCACTCATGTTTACTCCATTCAACTCATACAGAATAACGCCTGCTCTTCCATTTTAGGGAAACCATTGGAGATGTTTCATAGGTCAACCAATCCCTACAGACCCATTTGAAAAGAATGGAGGACACCTTTGGGGATGGAGAACACCTGCATGTTTTACTAATGAGGCCTTGCAGGAGATTCACTCTTTACAAAACAAGTGTCGTGCAGATCAATGGTATATATCATGAAACTAAGACAATCACAAAACAGCGAAATGGAAGACGGAAGTTTACTACTTTGGGCTGATGGACACTTGTACACAGTCCCTTAACTCGGAATATCAACCATTTTGGCTCAAAAGGCCAGGGTGTGCTGAAAGTGTGTTAAAGCCATGTCTTACCTTCACTGCAGTCCTTTCCTTGGAAACCAGTGTGCGAGCAGTCACATGTCGGTTCGTTGTTAATTAAACTGCAGACTCCTCCATTTAAGCACATGTTGGCTGTACCGCAGAGGTCCATTAGGACCCCGTCACTGTCGATCATAACAGATTCTGTGTTGTTGACCTTTACGTCTGTTATCCATCCAGTGAAAGGCAGCTGATCCTTGACCACAGCTGAAGTCAGACGCAACGCCACAGATCGTAATTCCGGCGGTATCCCACCAACAAACAGATGGCTGAAGACAGTCATGTCTCGTCTTTTGGACTGGACCTCCACCCATTTTATCTCACTGTCCACAATCAGGGTTGTGTTCTTAAAGTTTCTCCTTATTGTGACGGTGTGCCACTGGCTGTCGTTGACTGCCGTGTCAGATAGAACAGTTGCAGGCTCGGCACAGAAGATTGAAAAACGAAGACTGAGTTTACCATTCCGTATGAGAAGTTCTAAGAAGTCACAAAATCCCTCATCATCAAAGTAAACTAGCAGCCCATGGGAACTCTTTGTTTTCATGTTGAAGCTCATTTCGCTTTCACAACATGCATTCCAAACTGGAAACCTAGCCCACTGTCCTTCAGCACCTGTAAATTCTAGACAAGTGCCTATTTCTACAAAGCAGCAAAAGAGCAGGCCAAACCATATGATATGGGCTCTGTGCGGCGTTTGTACAACCATTGTGTGATTCTAAATGATCTTGATAGTGCTTAGGATTTATAGGGTCAGAATTCACTCACAAGAACTTCTTACAAACAACAGTGAAATAGTAGACTGGCATATAACTGACTGTCTACAGGGATTTACAACTGTGTATATATGCATTGCAAGACAAGATATTAATTGCAGATTAGCATATAAGCCGACACTGATTTTCAGAAGCTAACATTGTTACTTCATGCTGTCCAGGCCACTGGCCAAGCCTCTCACTGTTCTCGCCAAAACAGGTTGAACTCTTCAAAGGTCCTCTCTGCCATGGCTTAGATGGAGCAAAGTGACAGAGATGCAGATATCCACAGGGCACAAGCAGTATAATTTATGTAATTACATAACAGTCCTTTCAGGTGCCAGTTAGTGTTTCACTGGAGCCGAAGTGACAGCCGTAATCTTCATGTTCATGCCAGTATTCTTTTGGCCAGTCAGTTGTTGTCTTGCTTAGGGCTTTTCACCCTGCATCCTCGGTAGCAAAGAGGGAACTGCCATAAGGAGCCAGGCTGGCTGATAATCTCAGAAATAGAAACTGTTTGTCTATCAAGGCAATCCTTCCTCCTGGAGGTTTCTGCAAAAGAAAAAGCAGGTTTAATACAGCATCAGCACTTTCTGCATGTGCATTTCCAGTGCCGCTTTGGCCAAAGTCTTCAATCAACAGTCAGAATTAGACTATACAATTTAGGCAGAAGCACAACCAGTCTGCAGGAGGGCTATCGTTCCAACTAACACTGGGTATTGCATTAGATTACCATTACTGGGGCTTTTCAGGAAGTGAACAGGGACACTTCAGAAAGTTTTTATCTAAATGGTCAAGTGCTGAGACATGCACCTTTGCATTAAGACATCCGATAATTCAGTGTTGTCAGATACACAACTTTGACTTGCACACATACAAGAAAAGAAGAAACATATCGCAGGACTCTTTTTAATCACACTGATACATCAGGACACCTTAGTACAAATGAAAACAGCCTAGGACACACTAAAGTAAAAAATAAAAAATAAAAATAAACTTAAATCTAAATAAAAAATATGAAGCCTGGACTGATTTACTTTTAGATCGCAGTAAATCAACTTATGCATCAGAGAAGCATTCCAATAAACAGCTCATCACTGACCAGCCCAGCTGAAGCCGGAATGAAAGGACACGGTGCGTCATTTGATTCACAATGTTTTTCTTGTTTTGTTTCGTTCGTGTGGGACTAACAAGTCGGACTGCCACTGGATCTCATTCGCTCCAATTTTTCTCAGCTTTTTATTTACCTTAATTTTTTCTTACATACAAAAACACGGAGTCGCCAACATCTGTCCTTTCAAGACGTTTTGTTTTCTTATTCCTATCTCGATTTAAAATCTCTTCAATTATTTTTGCTTTTCAGGTAGAAAAAAAAGAACCCCGATGTTCCCGATTCGGCTTTACTTATGTACTGCAATAGATTAAACCAACTCAATAAACTGCAAATGTGCTGAATAAAAATGTGCCACACGTGCATTTGTCTGTTAGATTCAATTATTATTATGTGACTTTAACCAAAAAATTACATAGCATACGTATTTTAGGCATAACCTCAGCAATAGTGTGCCCCATACTTGAACATCTTACCCTGGATGACAAGCTGCACAAAAGGCGCACTATCATTAGAGTGTTATTCTATATCCTTATTGGCGGATTCGGTCGATCGTGCAACTCCAGAAAAAAAAAAAAAATCCTTAGTTAAACAATTTCTATTTTTCCCCGTTGCGCGAACACTTTTGACTTCTACGGGACCTTAAACAGTTACGACAAGAGAAAAAAATAATTCATACATAGCACCACACTGCGCTCCCCCAAACCACCTCCTTCGCTCTTTTTAAGAGCTTGTGCCTAAAATCCTCTTTGATGAAACCCTCACATAAAGATGTGCTTTCAAGTGAATCACAGCATCAGCCTCAGAGACGCGGAGACACACACACACACACACACGAAGAGAGACGGGTCCACTTTTACTCTAACTCCACAAAAAACCTTACAGGCTCACTGGCAGAGAAAAATACCTGCAATATTCCGTCCGGTAAATGTATTTCCCGATATGAAAGGAAAAAAAAGACAGTCGAAAAGAATATAAGTCCTCCGGATGGAGGTAGTGGGAAGCGCGGGGCGAAAATCCAGTTATCTTCGTGGAAGAGGAGGTGCAATCTGGTTTCCCTGTTGAGCTTATCCAGCGACTGTCAGGAGCCACAGACAGAGCGTGGATCACGTGTCCCTCCGTGATGTCTACCGGGGAGGGGCAGAATGCAGCACCTTGGACAGTGCCTCTGACTAAGCTTCAATCCACGGGCATTTAGGATGCAAGCAACTTTGGAAATAAGATAGGTAAAACAAAAGGGACTTATTAACACACGAAGGCAGACAGAAATACATCGGCTGTACGGGGAGCCTTGAGCTAAATCTTTGAAATCAAGTCCAATGTGACTTAGTTGTTTCAGAATCATTATGGGACATGGGATTTAAACATGAGATCATGCTAACATCCGGCCAGGAGCACTCAAGTCTGTGGTAATGAGTTACATCCATATTGGAGGGAGTTATTTCTCAATAAAAACTTTGTTTTTTTCACAGTTGTATAGAGGTCAGTGGTAAATTATGTTCCAAACCATTGTCAAAGCAGATCAAAGAATAACCTTGTAACATTTCCCAAACTGGACAGCATTATAGAGTAGAGCAGTTAAAACAAAAGTAGAAGTGAAACAAATGGGATGTTTTCACAATTCTTACTGGTTTCCAAATGGAACAAATGTGCATCTAATAGTGCAAAAGTTAAATGACTCACTTCAATGTTGGAATTGAAAACAAGGGTTTCCCAAGATGCCAATAATCCTTTAAACATAAATAGAACAAACAACACTAACACAAAACACTTTAAACGGTTTAAGGTACAAGACGTAGGCTGTACAATGAAATAGCCGAGAGCCATACCAATCCATAAGAAAAGGTGTCATACCCGATCATGAGAGTGATGAGCTGGAGCAGGAGATCAGTACATCAGCAAGGTGTCCTTGAACAAGGTATCTAAAGCTTAAAGAATGAATTAGCTGCTCATTGGCTGGAGAAATGGATAGGAAAATAGGTCCTACACAGTATAATCCTCTCATTAGCTCTGCTCGGACTGTGAAGTGAAGGTTTTTAGGCAAGTCTATATTTTAAGTTTATAAGTGTGAAAAACAGACAGGTATTCGATTTTCTTGTTTTAATTTAGATGCCTAGGGCTCCAACAGGTGCTAATTTGTATTGTCCTTCATTTGTTTTTAGGAAAGCAGCTATTTTGTGATTTCATCCTCCAAAAATAGACTTTATGAAATCTAGGGTTTAATCCAAAAATCATACTGATTTTGTTTTAAACATACTTTATCCACGATTACCCTGTTAAATCAAGCTTTTTTTTAAACGTAAGAATTTATCAAATAACACATCAAAAACCAAAAAAAGTTAGAATACGACATCTGATGAGTTACCGGCCTTTTTTGATTATAGTAAAGACAACAAGGACAGAAATTAGGAAAAAAAAATGGTAAACAATCTTGTTGACAGAGTAACTAAGAAGGTCTGATACACATCTCATCTGCACAAGGCAGGCAGTGCGCCAGCATTTCTATAAGCTCATGTCAGGGGCAATTGAGGTGCAATCAGTCTTTCATTTCAGCGGTGAGAAGCTGCTGTGTGTGTCTTATGTGATCAGCAATCTCACACAAAAGCAGAGCAAAAGGCAAGCACAGGGAGGAGATTAGACTATTGTTATGGCACATTTCATCTGAAAACATCAAAACTTGATCTTTTTCCATTTAACATACTTAATTTAGCTTTTTGTCACCACAGTCTTTTAAGGAAGAAAAATCAGTAGCGATACCAGAAAGTGCAATTCACAGAGGCTGTAACTGAATATTAATGCGAGTGGTGATACTCAAAGCTCAGACACTAAATGTGCTGTCAACCTTCTACTGGCCTTTCAGAAGTTGCAGCACATCCTGTGATCTCATACGCTTCAGCAGGTATTTTGGAAATAGCTGCTTTTCAATTTACTCCCTCAGTCTGATGATGAAATATTGATTATGCAGTTTCAAGTGTTAAAAAACTGCTCAATACTACTAGACTTGTTTTTTTTTGTGAAGAAATATGCCCAATTCATAGTTTTCTATTAGTTTTAAATAGGCAAAAAAACCAGGTTCTGTCGTTTGGCCCCCCAGAGGCCAAACGACAGAATTTGCTGTCCAAATCTCATGTCTGGAAAATAAGAGCAGAAAAATATTTTTTTCACATAGTTTCTTTTGTTACAAGATCACATTTTGAAGAGAGCAAAGAAATATTTACCTTTGTGATTGGACTAAATGGATGAGCTTTCTATTTATATGAATTAAGATGGTTAGAACTTTCCATAGTAATCCTTGTTAAAAGTTTTAGAATTAATCAAGAATAAAAAAAACAAGTTTCAGTCAAACACTGAAATGTGTTTTTCTTCTCTTTTGCCACTCATCTCCTCCTACTGCAGTTCTTTATCTTTAACTTAACTAAAACTCAAAAACCATGACTCACAACATTCAGACACTTAAAATATGTTGCATTCTATTTTTTCACTAATGGGACAGATGGTGCTTATATAACAGGTAACTTCAAACTGCTGAAGATAATAATGACAGACTTAAACATCTGCACACTGTATAGCAAATACACAATTGTCACCTTCTTTTAGATTTCACAAAGCAGAAGATGCTGTACATATTTGTCAAATAACCTATTGCACAGCTGATTCTTTGCTTTTACCATTCATTTAGCC